TTCTCTACTACAACCACAACCCACGCCGGAACGCCATCTCCGCCGCAGTCGCATCCCATCTCCATCCCTTCCTCTCTTTCGATATCCCCTCTAGATTTCCGGTTAAAGCTTCATCGCCTACTCTATTACTTTCTTTCTCCACTCTCTGGGTAAGTTGTAAATTTAAATTTCGATTCCATTTGATCCGCACCCATTTCAATTTTAAGTTCTTTTTCTCCTGTTCTTCTATGGTCTATACTAAGATGCCTGAATTTTATTTTTGTATGCCACTCACCCTTCCAGTTTAATTTATTAGTGGGAGGTTGTTGAGTGAAATTCGCTCTGTGTTGTTTTGAATTTACATTTCTGGTTCTTGTATTGAAGCTATGGTTGGTCAGGATATGAATTGTTTTGTACTTCTTTTTTGGATGAAATATTTACAAGTTTTAGAGTTCTTGTTTGTATGTTCTAGTGTTTATAGTTTCAATATTGAGTTAGTGCCATTCTTTTGAGCAATGAATTTCTGCCATCAAAGGGAGCCTTCCTCCGATGGAAATTTCCAAAGCCTTTTGAGAGTGGAGAGCCAAATTCTTATTTTCCTTAAGGGAAGAGGTTGACTTTGCTCCAAGGAACAAAATGGGAGCCACCATTTTTCATAGCTTACCTCGCGAAAGAAGTTCCTTATGATTCTTTCAACATTGTTGACAATGACAACCAGTTACCATCTTGATGCCTCTTTCGCCTTGGGATAGGCATAGATTGTTGGAGAAAAAAGAAAAAGAAGTGTTGTCATCCAATTTTGGCATTTTACTTTTGAGTAGTTTTAATCTCATTGAACTCCCAAAAGCTATTTAAGTGTTGATTACATTTTCGTTTTGCATATCCTGCTAATTACAAGTTGCAGTTTATATGTGTCCCCTGAAACCGTCTCTAGGATGTCTGATTATTTTCTGAAAATCTTTGTTTCTCTGAATTAAGGCGTCTTATGGATGGACAAGAGAACATACTTGAAGCCATATACGAAGAAGATGACTTGGAAAATGATGATGTTGAAATGGTCGATGTGGAAGAAGGGGAGTTCGTTGAGGGCAATATCAGTACAGAGAAAAGCAGTCTTACAGATGTCCAAGCGCCAAGTATAGATCATAAAAGTAAAAATCGTAAACGTCGGTCAAAGAAAAAGAAGAACAAAAGAAAGACATATGAGTCAGGTTCAAATGGCACTGATATTAACAGGTGAAGTGAAATTTTCTAATCATGTTGTGTATGCATTAAACTGCACTTTCTTTAGATTTTGTCTTTGGGGAATCCATATTAGTTTTGTGAAGCAAATAAGGATAGATTAATAGATTGATTAGTAGCCATTAAGAAATAGCAATTTTTGCCCTGACTTCTATATTATGCTGATTTTTGTTTCTTTCAGGTTTGTGTTGGATGCATGCAGACGTTTGAAAGAGAAAAAATCATACATGGTGTACACTGCTGTAGGCTGTCTGGGAGTCTCTGCATTAAGTGAACTTATCAAAGAGGTAATTATTATCTTTTTTGAACCTGATAGAAGAATACTTTTTTTGCTTGAGTGATGAAAATTTATGAATAATCCATTATTGTTAGTTTGAAAACTTTTCTTCTGGTTTTCTATGTTTTGTTTGAAAATGAACCAAATTGACCAACCCTATCTAACCAAACCACGTCAACGAGTTTTTGACTGGGCTGTCTAATCATGGCCATCCAGTCTCGACTCCAGTAAGTATCATACCACATAGTCACTCTTCATATTTAATCAGTATTATTTCCTACCCTTGCAGATTCTGTTGCTGAAGCCATTTGCTCCTTTTAACCTTGTTCTCTGAGCTGTGAACCATCTTGGCTGGACTACTGCATCTGTGCTATATAAGTTGATGTTGTTTTCCCAGCATTTTTTGGTTATGATCTCTGTAAGATATTTGTACTTTATACAGAAAATTTAGCATTATCACAATTCACAATCCCTCTTTTCCATCCACTTCCCTGAAACCACTACTCCACCTGATTACTTACTGAATCTAGACTTCATTGAAATGCGCTGGGAAGTTTTTTACAACGCTTACTTTTAACAAGTTTTTAACTAAATTATGCAGTTCAGTTGTGCATGTCCTATCATATTTTTGATCTTAGGGTTTGAGATTTGCTTTCATATGTGGGCTCTTGAAAATCTGTTTTCACTTCTAAAAAATTATAACCATTTATTGCCTTGTTTTGCCCTTTTGAGTTACTGATGTTGCTTCACTAATCTGTGGTTGATTTTTCTTGTAATTGTTTTAGCACTTCCCTTCCTACCATATGACACCATATGTTCTATTTATACAAGTTGACATGTTGGAACTCCAGGTCAATGCAGTTCAGGCTTGTGGAGGTCAGATGACTGCAGATGGCAGGCGCTTTCGAACTGGAGGTGGCATATTATGGAGCATCATCAAAACCCGGGAACCAAATGCCTATAAAGAAATTATGAAACGAGCGAAAGAGTTTGAGGTATTTAACAAAACCTTTGTGACATCGTGACGTATTCCTTTGTTCTTTCCAATTGAATGTGCTACTCTTATTTTGGTCGCATAGAAAAATATTATCAATGTTCCTAGAGGAGACTCTTAAGGATTTTTCATTGCATGGCAAACGTTTCATCTTTCTGAATCTTTCACTTTATTCAGAGTGGCCTTAGTTTGCTAGGGAGCCTATATCTAATGACATTTCTCAAATTGTTGGGCTTATTTACTATCTGTTTTTATTTCTTAGTTTCTTTGTTCTTGAAATTCATGCTTATGTTAGAATGTGTCAAAATTCAATTTCTTCTGATGATCCTATCCGTGAAGCTAATCCTGCGATCATACGTATTTTTGTTTGTTTCATGATGGAGCAGAAACAATTTAAGCAACCAAATATCCGACGGGAGGCTACAGAAATTGGGAAAGCAAGTTCTCAGGATGTTCTTCACCTGTTCTCCGAAGGAGCTTCTCAAGATCAACCAGATAGCATCCAAAGCCTTACTCCGGAGCAGAATCAATCTAAAGAATCGAATTCCGAAGAAAAACGATCATCGGTTCACGAAAGATTAAGAGTACCAGTTTCATATGACGACGACATTCTTCGAGAGAATCCAAAAGAGGAAGATACAAGTTGATTGTGGTTAGATCTTCCCATTTTTTGAACAATTACTGTTGGTTTCTACTAGCTCATGGCTAACAAAGTCAACAGTGTTTACCTTAAAAAAAAAAAAGAGGCAGAAGAATGTTTCACAAACTGTGAGTTTGTTCCAATTTATTTTCAGTGGCTTTAGGCTACATTGGTTGAGGCTTGAGCGCTTTGGTTCTACAGGTGAGGATGGAATTGGCACATAGAAAGAAAATGGATTTATTGGGTTGCAAATGGAAAAAGGTTTTGCAATTGCTTTGACATTATATTCCTCCCTTTATCATTCTCCGTCGCTGAATGTGTAAATTATTAAAATCACACCCCCCCTCAAACTTAGAAGTTCGTAGATTTGACATATTTTGAGATAAGTAAAAGTTCTTTGATTAAAATAAACTCAGACTCTTTAATATAATCACGTCTCTATTGATATCAATGAACTGGAAGTACAAAACTCAACTGTTTAGGTATATATATATATATATATGTATATATCTATATATTCCAAAGCTGCCACACAGATGACAGGGAGGGAAGCCTGTGTTCTCGAATCTGACCTCGGTCGTCTAGCAGAGTAGCAGCAACACCATCACCGCGATGAAGAATAACTCTCGGCGTGAGTTAGCGATGGTTTTGGAGCTGCCGTTGTCCTTCGTTTGAGGAATCATCAATGGAGGCATCTGAGCCGAATTGGAATCCGGCGGCGTCGCATAAGGAGGTGGAGGCGGCTGATTCAGGCTTGGCGGCAAACCGAGCCCGGTATTGACCTGGATCTCGAAGGCCATACCTTCTTGACATTGAACTCCGTCATTGGCGTCGGAGAAGAAGTAGTTCGAACCTTTGATGGTCAGTGGTACTTGAATGATCAATGGCTTGTTGAAGTCGGTATCTCCGCCATTGTACTGAACCGTGTCGTTATCGGAGGCATCGTCGAAGGAGCAGCTCTGGAATGTCGTCAAGTTGTAGGTCTGGATCACGGTCTGATTCGAATTCGTTCTGAAGACTGCAATTAACAAGAGCAGCGAAACAATGACAATGAAGTTCTGTTAGTTAATTGATTGATAAGAGAGAGCAATACCTGTATTCAACTCTCAGGAATGGGTTAAGAAACAAACAACGACGAACGGATATTTCAGAGAGTAATCAACCCTCAGGAATGAGTTAAGAACATAACCTAAAGGAGGAGGAGGAGAGATTGAGCTTACTCAGGAAGTCGCCGAGGTTGAAAGTCTGAGACGCGGCCCAGGAGGAGTAATTGGTAGCGGAAATGTTCTTGGTGGCGTTGAAGAACCAACCTGCAGGGCCACCGACTGTGTGATTAGAATAAGCCGTCGGAGGGGTTTGAGATGCCGCCGCCGTGATCAAGAGAGCGACGACCGCCGTGAACGCTGCCGTCTCCACCGCCATCGATGTTGGAGTGTCTGAATGTGAGAAATGATACAGCTGTGGTGAGAAAATTCGGACTTGGAGTGCTTTTTTATATTTGACTGGAAAACAAATAGTATTAAAGCAATTCTCTCTTTCTTAGGGAAAAAACAAAAATTTATTATGATTATTATCATTATATTTGGAGTTTAAATTGAAATTTGTGAACATGGAGAGGCGGCGGTAATTCACTTATTTTAGACCATCATTCTACATTAATTAAAAGGAGCTTCAAATTATGTGCTTTTCTATTTATTCTCCCCTAATAATTTTTTTTTTTTTTTTTAATATTCAGTGAGTGAGGGCATACAAGTCATTTCACTTTCAAATTCTTTTTTTTTTTTTTCAAAAATACCATCCTCATTTCCTTATTATTTTTCCATTGATTTTGCCCTCGCAAACCTACGTTGTTTTCTGCCTCGCATAAAACACAATCGGAAGAGTTCCCTCTGGTCTTTTTCGGCGGCGGCGCTTGAAGCTTTACTCCGGTTTCCAACTCCGACGTAGGGTTGTAAATTTTACTCTCTCTCTCTCTCTCGAGAGATGGGTGGCAAAGGACTACGGAGGAGAGAGCGGAATTACAGAGCCGCACATGGAGGCTATGATCGTCTCCCACCGCCGCCGAACGCTTCCCAAGTCGATACTCTGCCTTCCAAACTCCGCAAATTAATGACCTTCACTTCCCCTCGACCTCAAGGTTTGTTTATTTGTTTCTTTGCGTTTATTTGTTTGTCGATGAGTTTATTTAATTTCAGGCTATAATCTCCTCCCCTGGTGCTTACAGAGTCTGAGAAGGTCTCGGAGGATGTTCAGCGTAAGCGCAAGAGAGAAGCCGTTGATACTGAAAAGGTAATTGATATTTTCTTTAATTCTTCTCTGTCTCAGATTGGTACGTTTGCAGTTATCGGGGTTTACTTGAATTATTTTTTCTTAGGGCTTATACTGGACAAGGTGACAGAGGATTGGCATTGTATCATTTAGTATTTCAGTCTCTAACCAATGTTGTTGTTGTAAGTTCGGGTGCCAGAAAGTTGAGATTAGTATCACTAGGCATCCTAAGTATTTTCGTTTCATCATCTTCTTCTTTGGTTGCCGTTGCCCTTGTCTTACCGCGTACCTGGTTTGGCGTTAGAGTAGAAGATATCTATTAGTAGTTTCTATTGTTTAGTGAATGGCTTATTCTGTTATTTTATCCGGCGTGGTTACGAGGTTAAGCTTACTACCCCTGAATGGGGATGCAAAATTTCTCGTGTTAAGTTTGCCTGCTTGAAGAGCTTGATAACGGCATTACATGCTCAGAGTTTGTGTTGCTCAGTTGTAGTTTGACTTCCACTTTCTATACAGAAATACCATCCAAAAGAAGCTCCGGGAAAATCTGACTTAAAGAGCAAAGGTAATGGTGGAAATTCACAAATGCCTCAGCTTACGGGGAGTGATGATGACGTTCAAAGCAAGTTCAGTGAGAAGAAAAACAAAAAACGAAAGAAAAAGCAGGTTACTGACCTTCGTTTTGAAGACTTGTCGGAGAATTCAAATCGACGTTTAAAGAAACGGGAACGCCAGAAAAAGTAAGCATTTTACTGCACCTCAAAAATTTGCTCCCTTACCTTCTGTGAGGTTGCATGTTTTTTTTACTATTGAGATGACTTGTTCATTTTGCATTTTTATTCCAATTACATTCCCATAAGTGAAAATAAAATAAACAAGTTTTGAACGTATTGCTTAAATGATGAAGAGAAATGTCCAGAAATTGCAATGTCCCAATGTTTTCCTTTTGGTAGTGACATAATTTGGCTATCTGAGAGGACCCTATCTACCTCATTTTTGTCAACTTGGTGCCCAAGGAAAGTTTTGAGTAATTTGATTATACAAGGTGTTTATGATTTCAATCATAGCAATGTGATAGGCCGTAACGAGCCTTATGCGAGCAAGAGGCATCATGAAGTATTGCATGCACAAAGGAGACTAGTTAGAAGGGTTCATGGTTATTTCAGGGAGTGAGTAAAGGGGACTAGTTAGAAGGGAGAGGAGAACGAGGAAATTTTTTGTATGAGGGGAATATGTGCTTGAAGGGGAAAATCGGAGAGAAAGAAGTAGTAGTGCTAATTGATAGGGAAGCAATCTAAAAATTTTTATCCAAAAAAAGTTATTCAGGAGGATGGTTTTAGGAATACCTTTAGGGCTGGTGTTGGAAATATTATTAAGGATATTAAGATATAAGGGTATATTAGGGAGGTGATGTAGGAAACAATTGTTTTGTTAGACTTTGGGTTTTTGAAGCGGTCTTTTCAAATATTTTACTATATTCTTCAAGTATTTCGAAAATATTTCTGTTCTATTTACTCTATCAATATTGGTACTAGAACACTTGACCTGGAAGTGAAAAAAAAATACTGGATGGAATAAAAAGTGACATTAGAGCAATCTCTCCAATCTGAGGCATTGAAATCGAAATTAATGGGGAAGAAACTATCTTAATTCATTTTAAGGAGCCTGCATGCAAACGAAAGGCAATCAACCAATATTCAATCTGAAAGATTGTTGGCAGTTTCGAAATTAGAGCAATCGAATTGGCATCGAAATTGACACTTCGGGGGAAGAAACTATCTAAGTTCATAAGGGCTGGCATGCAAACGATAGACAACCAACCAATATTCAATCTGAGAAATTGTTGACAATTGCGAAGGAAGGATGATGGAGGGTTCTCAAAGGCAGCATATAAGGGAAGAATGAGGTTGGGTACAGACTAAAAGCAAGGAATTTGTATGTAATTCAGAGAGATGAAAGGACTCTCAAATATAATTCCAATGTTTCAAACAGTTTTCTTATGGCTTTCTAGAAGTATATCCTAATCCTCTGGTTATTCAATTGAACTTAAGGCTATTACAGAATTATGCACTAGTTTATCTACCCATTTTCAGTATTCTAATCGTGGTCATTTCGATTGCATTTGTCATGTACCATGTTATAGTAGGTCTGTTGTAGAAACTTGGTGAACTGGGAAGCATTTGTTCCCTTTTTTTAACTGATCCATTACGTTTATTTCTAAATAGATATCACGAGGCTAAGAAAAATAAACACAAAAAAGGCAAGACAGACGAGGATCTAGACTTCCCAAGACATGAAAAAATAAAATTTGGTGACGTGGTTGAAGCTCCATTGAAGTTGACTGCAGTTCCGAAGGTAACATCTAACTCTTCATGGTCAAGTTAAATGATAAATGAACACTCCCATTTGGGTACTTGACAATTTTGTTGTTCCGATGTTTCATATAGGCGTTTAAATCTGCACAAGTTGCTTCTCAAGAGAGGAAGCGATTGCAGGCTATAACTGAATATAGAAACCGCAAGGGATGGACCTCAAGGCCAGGGTTGCAAATACCTTCAATGACTATATCACCAGCTGTTTAATTGTAAGTTTACGATCATTCCGTTCCCTTTGTTTCCTTTGACAAGAGTCTGAACTACATTTAGTTGTTAAAGCTTAGCCTCTTAATTTTCTGAAGTATGTACAATCGATAGAAACAAACTGTGACAGTGTGGCTGTATTTGGATTCTAATTTACCTTCTATGCTTTCATCACATTGTTTTAAGATCTATGCTATCATCTCATTGCTTTTAAGTCTCAAAGTTGATATTATCTTTCACATTTTATGCATCATGATGAATATTGGTTAAATTTTTTTAAAAATTATCCCTCAATTATCACTATACATATACATCTATACTATCTCTTAGAATTTCTTACTAAAATTGAGACTGAAATAGTGTGTAAGTGACCTAGAATGAAATCACTGCCACACTGTTTCAAGTTTCATTTTCGTCTAAAATTCTTTAGAATCAGTACTCCAAGTATTATTTTGAAACAATGATTATGTAAGGGCAAGAGTGTTAATATTGTAACTTTTAAAAGTATAGGTGTAGTCATGAAAGAAGGGACATTTTTTTCTTTCATAATTTAGCCATGAATATTTGAAACTAAGATATATAATGCCTTGTGTGTCTGTTTGCTAGAATATGACATCTTTTGAAAATTATTTTGAGCTCCTCTTCCAAAACAACCTGGAAAACTTGAAATAGAATCGTGATGAAACTCTTTTTGAACTGGCATCTTTGAATAGCTCAGCATTCTTAGTTGGCAGCTGGATTTGCATTAATGATGGTGGTTGTGTTGGGGCAGCAGCCAGATTTTGTTCCATTAGGGGTGGCGATAAGCTGGCAATGGGATTCTCACGCCGCATCACTAGCCCCAAAGAGTTGGTGGAGAGTTATCAGAATATTGTCTAAAAGGGAAGATTTGTTCTATAAATTACCAAGCAATCAACTCAGAAACCAAAGGTCAGATTCTGAAAATCTTATCAGAAACAGATTCTGTGACGAAAGCTAACCTACCATCTTATGCTCTTCTTTTACTTCATATGAGATTAATAGGTTTCTTATGGATCCAATGTTTTCTTTTTATCGTTTATTGATGTATGAATTTGATAAAACATTAGGTATTTCTATTTGAATTATAATGGTAACGTAAAGTCTATTTATTACGTATTTGAACATTCATACTTAATTTTATATTATTAGTTTCTAAACGATAAAAAGAACTTATATTTCATCAAAGTCAATACCAGAATAATCTGATTAATTGCATCTGGTGCAAATATTACATAAGATATCTATTTATTATCTTTCTATATTGTACAAAGTTAAAAAAGATCTTAAAGTTTGAAGTAGAATTAAAAATATTATCATTATATTACTTTCATTCAAAGATGAAGCTGCAAATATAGAAATATATAAAACAAAAAGGGGGAAGCACACAAGCAGCCCACTCATCCAACTGCCTCACGACAGCTTAGCTCTTTTTCCTTCAAGCATCCTTCTATCTGCTATTCCCCTATTGTGCCCTTTATTAAATCATGGTTAAATTGTATAAAAATAATTTCTAATAGATATGTTTCAATTATGCTTCTAGATTTCGGAATTTTTCAATATAATCTTTAATTTTGATGTCAAATTGATGCGGCAATTGATAGTAGAGTTAGAAAAAAATATATACTCAAAAAAATAACATTGACATTGTTTATAATGTTAATTTAAATTCTAAAGGGCTCTTTGAATCTATGTAAAATATTTTATATGATATGAGAAAGTTAATTCTTAGTATTATTATTAGATTATGTGGCATCTTTTCCTTTAAACCTATGATATTTCTCTCTTTATAAAACCATTTATGTTAAGCTTTAGGAACTAATATAATTACAACTTAAGCATAAATTGAAACCAAAGTATGGTTTACTAAAAATAATAATAATAGTAGTAAAACATTTCACAACAAAATTCAAACTTTCAGAATAATTAAAATGAAACAGAAAAAACAAAAAAGAAAAACTCCCACCAAAAAACCAAACTCTCAACGTTCTTCTCTGTTTACCGTCAATAATGTGACCGTTGCCCCCGCCCCCCACAAAAAAAAAAAAAACATTTTAGTAACTATTGCAAGTGGTAAGCTCAGGGACAAAAGGGTAATTTCGCCTAAAGTAAGGGAAAGCAGGAAGCCACCCCTGTGCCATACGCCAAGCACATAAACCACTTCTGTTGTTTCCAGCTGTGTACAAAAGCGCCTTGCCTCCTTTTTCCTACATTCCCCAAAATACCCTTAACTGTAGTTAACTTCCCTTTAACCCTAGTTAGCTAACTTAACTACTCTCCCTTTTATACCCTCTCCACTCCCTTAATCCCCCGTTCTTTCCTACTCCTCCTCCCTCTGTTTCTCCCCTCCCTTTTCCCATGCCGGCCTCCAAATCCCTTTTCTTCTTCCTCGCCCTCGCCGCAGCCACCGCCGCCTCCGCCCACAATATTACCGACATTCTTAAGGATTTCCCGGAGTATAGCGATTACAGCAACTACCTGCAACAGACCAGACTCGCCGACGAGATTAACAGCCGTCAGACTATCACCATCCTCGTTGTCTCCAATGGCGCTCTCTCCTCCGTTGTGGCCAAACATCCTCTCTCCGTCATCAAAAACTTCCTCAGTCTCCACATTGTCCTGGACTACTACGATCCTGCGAAACTCCACAAGATCTCCAACGGAACCACTCTCTCCACCACGCTCTACCAGACAACTGGCCACGCGCCTGGAAATCTAGGTTTCGTGAACATTACCGATCTCCAGGGCGGTAAGGTCGCATTCGGCTCCGCTGCGCCTGGATCTAAACTCGATTCGAGTTACACGAAGTCGGTTAAGCAAATTCCGTACAACATTTCGGTTATTGAGATCAGTGCGCCGATCATCGCGCCGGGGATTTTGACGGCTCCGGCTCCATCGGCTTCCGATGTTAACATCACGGCTTTGCTCGAGAAAGCCGGATGTAAGACGTTTGCGTCGCTGCTTGTTTCGAATGGTGTGATCAAGACTTACGAATCGGCGGTTGAGAAAGGATTGACCATATTTGCGCCAAACGACGAAGCGTTCAAGGCAGATGGAGTTCCAGATCTGAGTAAACTCACGAATGCTGAAGTTGTTTCGCTTCTTCTATACCATGCTCTGGCCGCTTACTCTCCCATCGGCGCCTTGAAGACGACTAAGGATCCAATCGACACTCTGGCTACTAGCGGTGCCGGCAAGTTCGACATTACGACGACTACGGCCGGGGATGCGGTTACTCTCCATACAGGAGTTGGATCCTCGAGAATCGCCGATACAGTCCTCGACGCGACTCCTCTCGCTATTTTCAGCGTCGATAGTCTGTTACTACCTTCGGAGTTGTTCGGAAAGTCTCCTTCGCCCGCGCCAGCACCCGAACCTGTGAGCTCTCCTACCCTGACGCCGTCTCTGGCTCCAAGTCCGAGTCCTAGCGCGAAGGCTCCGTCTCCGTTAGCCGCGTCCCCGCCTGCTCCTCCTTCCGAGGCGCCGGAAGGTTCGACGGCCAATGCACCTAGCGCTGAGGCGCAAACTAGTACTCCTGGAAGCTCCGCCGTTCACGTGAAAGCTTCCGCCGTTGTCGTTGTCGCCGCCGTTGCTACCACCATGTTGTCCTCTCTACTCTTGTCCTAAATCGTAATTCTCCTCTAGCATCAGTCTCTTCGTTTATTTTATTTTTGTACTTTTTTCTTTTTTGAATTGGTACTTTCTTTGATATAATTTATTTTTGAATTTATTAGTATTTTCTGAATACACCTTTGTAGAGAGAGCGAGCGAGGGAGCGACAGCGTGGTAGTAGTGGTCCCCACGGCTGCTGGTTTGGTTTGGAGAAATGAACTCTTCTTACTTTTTATAATTTTCTTTTTCATTTCAATTTTCAGATTTTCGAATTTTTTAGGATATGTGGACAAATTGTAATTATTATTTTAAATGAGTGAATAACTTTAACTATAGATTCAATTTGTACTAATTTACCCACAAATTTTAACATAAAAGAAGGTAAAAGTCTTGTAAATTTAGTGCTTAATCAATTGATTAATTGTAATCAGATAAGATTAGTATTATTTGAACTTGAATAGAAAATGGTAGATGGGGAATTTTGGAGAACGAGTTTTATTAGTGCAAGGGGCGTTTACGAAAAGATTCTTTCTGGGCCTGAGCCCAACAGAAATTAAACTATGCTCCGTAGATATTAGGAAGCCCAATACCATGTGGCCCGGTGGGTGTCCTACATAGACTGGATATTGGGTCATGAGCCCTTGGGTTGGAGCGACTCTTCCCCCATTTAAAGAAAATGAGCCCTTGGGTTAAAGAAAATGAGCCCTTGGGTTAAAGAAAATGAGCCCTTGGGTTAAAGAAAATGAGCCCTTGGGTTAAAGAAAATGAGCCCTTGGGTTAAAGAAAATGAGCCCTTGGGTTAAAGAAAATGAGCCCTTGGGTTAAAGAAAATGAGCCCTTGGGTTAAAGAAAATGAGCCCTTGGGTTAAAGAAAATGAGCCCTTGGGTTAAAGAAAATGAGCCCTTGGGTTAAAGAAAATGAGCCCTTGGGTTAAAGAAAATGAGCCCTTGGGTTAAAGAAAATGAGCCCTTGGGTTAAAGAAAATGAGCCCTTGGGTTAAAGAAAATGAGCCCTTGGGTTAAAGAAAATGAGCCCTTGGGTTAAAGAAAATGAGCCCTTGGGTTAAAGAAAATGAGCCCTTGGGTTGGAGCGACTCTTCCCCCATTTAAAGAAAATGATCTGGTCCTAAGAAATTTGCATCTGATTCTCTGTTTCTGAGTCGGTTCACCCCAATCATTCTCTTTTATACCAAAGTCGAGATAAAATCTACGAAGACACTATCCCACGGTTCTTGTAGTACACGTAGAAGCTATTCTAGAAGCTCTACACGAGTACCAACTTTTTTTCTCGATTTGTTTTAGTTCAACCCAATATTAAAATTTGATAACATTTGAACTTCACATGAGTACATATATCTTAATGACTATACTCGGATCAAAGCAAAAGAAACGGAACAACGTCCATTCCCCCGTCTTTACTTTAATCCCAGTGTTTGTAGGAATTTGTACAAGGAATCTGAAAACCCCGGGGTTCCATGTGGGTTAGCTTAGCGTCCAAAACGCATAGAATAATGTATACAAAAGCTACTTTATTAGAATCTCAACAATTTTATAGAAATGCGTAAGGGCTGCCTGCCCATCGTCATAATTATTATATTCTTTTTAATGCAAATCTTGTATGGGAAGGGAAGTTGTTTTAGATTACGACTTCAAAACAAATGCCGCATCATAAAAGGGCATATCGCAATCTAAAACAACACAAAAGTAGACAAATAAATACAACTACACCTCGCCCTTTTTTTTGTCTATTTAATACCCTTTTTTCCATCTCCATTATTGCTCCCTACCATACATATGTATATATTCATACTCCTTCCTACCAAACTCGAGATTATGAGTCTTAAGAGTGAGGACTATGCGGCATGCTTCTTAAGAGTGGATGAAGATTTTAAAACATGGAATAAATATATCAAGTATGAAATTTTGGGGGTTGATGTGGAATTCAATTTTTAGTTTGGAGAGCACCACCAGCAATGGCTAGGGTTTCTCAAAAGCAAAGCAAAGAAAGAAACAAAAAAGGGGTTTAGAAAGAAAACAACAACAACAGTAATAATAAAAATGGGGGGAAAATAGAGAGAGAAAAAGAGAATTTTAACGCATACTGAAAATGAATGAAGAAGGGTGTGTGGTTTGTTGCCTCGAAAAGGAGCTGTTTTCACACACCTTTGCACGTGTGACCCGATGCCCAATGCTCCTCTATCTCTCTCTCTCTCTCTCTCTCTCTACAAACCCTAATTTTCTCTCTCCTCCATCCCCAGTTTTCAGAACAAAAATACCACAAACTCTGACCTCATTCCCCATTTCCCCATTTCCCCATTCTCCGGCCGCCGCCCTCCGCCATCTTCTCCGGTGGCTTTGAAAAAAATTAAGAACAAACCCTAATAACATAACCACTAACAAATTAACATAATTTAGTTAAGGCATAATAATTAATAGGAAGGATTTTTGACATCCTTCTTCTAATTCCACAATAATTACCTTAATTTTTCATCATTTTCTATGTTCCAATTAAAACACAAACTAAAATCTCACACAACTTAATTTAGAGATGATAATAAAAAGAAGAGAAATTTCATCAAACCCCAAAAGATTATGTTTTCAAAACGGTGGCCGACCTCCTCCCCAATACGCCGCCTCCGCCGCTAATTGGCATGAAGAATTCACACCATGAAACAATCCCCCATTCGGATCCCCCAACAATTGCGGCGGCGGCGGTGCTGCCTGTTCTCCCGCCATCTCCGCCGCGGGTGAAGCTTCGTCTTCCTCGTCAATGGGTAGCCGTTCATATGCAGCATTTCCAAATGAAGCTGCCATAATAATCACCGGACCGGACGCCAGAAGTGGGCCGATGACATTCCCGCCGACGACCTGCCCCTGCCCACCGGCTAAGTAGACGGTCAGCCCGGAGGCGGCAGGGGGAGCCGGCGGCGGGAGGAAGGAGCCGGATAGGGAGAGAATTTCAAATCTGCCATGTAAGGAGATGACAGCGGCGGGGGAGGCTGGCTGTCGGAGAGTGACGTTGGCGACGGTTCCAGTGGCGCTTAAGATACAAACGCCGCGCTGACGCCTACGCCCGAAGGCGGCGAGGGTATCCACGATGTCAGAGGCGGTGGAGATTTCGATGAGATGAGATCTGAGGGCGTTGGCGCTGTCTCTAGTGATTATAATGGGTGGCTTTGGCTTGTTTTTGGAACCAGCTGGTCGGCCACGTGGGCGTCGAGAAGAAGAATTGGATAATTCTTTAGTCTCCGGTGCGGTGATGGGATTTTCCTCCTCCCTATCCCTTTTAGCTCCGCCGCTTTGGTCGTCATCGGAGTTTTGGCGGTGGTGGAGATGAAGATCTTTGGAGAGGAAAGGAGGTGGAAGAGGGCGAGTGTGGGGTGTAATTCTATCCATATCGAACTCCATCAAAAAAATCTCTCTTTTTTTTTTCTTCTTCTTCTCTTCTTTTGGGTAATTGGGTTGAATTGATTTGAATTGATTTGAATGGATTTGAATCGATTTGAATCTTGAACAGGGTTTTGTGATGATTTTGGTGAGGAAAAGGAGATGGGAAAATTGAAGCACCTAAATCATCCCATCTTCCATGTTCTTCTTCATCGTGTTGCGGGTAGCCATGGATGACCAAATTTTGGAGTTTTGGGAGTGTTTTGGGGTCAAGGGTTTGGGAAAGTGAATGAAGAAGAGCCTAAAGGCATCCACGCCCGAACATTATATAACTCTTTTAACAACGATACCAATTTGAACATAACTCAATTTAGTGTGCATCAAACCAGAATCCAACGGGATGTGGAATAATAATAATAATAATGATAAATTTAGTGTATGAGGGCGCAAGGGATTAGGTCTAAGGGAATGGATGGATGATGGGGCTTTGGGTTTGGGTTTGGTTTTTGGCAGAACAGCGTGCGCATGGGCGGTGTGCACGGGCCCACTCCCTCTTCTTTCTCTTGGAACATGGAACATACAACATCCAACATCCAACATCCGACATACAACATGCACATGACACCCTTCAATCCCACCTTAATTCTCACTCTTTCTCTATTCTAAAACAATTATTGTCCAAAAATTTAGACTCATATTAAATTATTCTTTCTCGATCGGAAAGGAGAACAAAATATTCTTCGTAAGAATGTGGAAATTTCTGCCTAAACAACATTAAGAGTAAGCAATATCCACTACCAATGAATTTCGGCGGTTACAAATAGTCTTCGAGCAATTCTAGGCAAAGTGAGCAACATGGTTACGTTATAAAGTCAATATTATTTATTTAAGCTTTTGAATACAGTTTGTTTAATTAACGTTTGACTTAGGGAATGTTGTCCATGAGTAAAAAGTCAGAGTTTATATTTGGTTAATTATAATATTTATAATACGCTATGAGTTAGAACAACATGACATTTATTTAAATTCACATTAAATAATAATATGAATATTTTAAAGCAAGGAAAAATATAAAAACTTCAAATCTCACTTAAATGCAATATTTTAAATAATTGGATCAAACTCTAATAAGTTTGAACCAATGGAAAGAAGAGGCCATGAAATTTTGTTTATAATGTTTTTTTTTTTTTAATTATTTAATGAACAGAGTAATTTGTCTTACATATGTTTACTTTTTGAGTTTTTTTCTTAAATATTTTAATACTTAAGAAACAGTTTGGTGATTATATATTAAAGGTCAAAATAATTTTAGTCTATATATGCTATTAATAATATTATTATTTTTAGTCCAAACATGTGACTTGAAAAAAAAAAAGAACCCTACTCGTCCACCTCCTCAACTCGACTCCTCTTACAATTTCTTAGCTGATTGGTCTTGCTTGTTACTTCTCACAGTCGCACTCTTAGCTCACACTCACTTCTCACCCTAGGACGCTAGACCGACACCCTTCACAGCAAATGATCATCGATTGTCAACATCTAGCCTTTGCGTTCTAAGCGTTCATCCACTCATCGTATTGCACATCGTCTGTTCCTCGTCGGTCGTCCCATTTTTCAATTGTCAAAGATGAAACCCTGTTAGACACCTATGAGATCCCACATTGATTGGAGAGGAAAACAAAACATTCCTTACAAGGGTGTGGAAACATCTCCCTAACAGACACATTTTAAAACTATGAGACTGACAGCGATATGTAATTAGTCAAAGTAAATAATATCTATTAGCGATAGAGTTGGACGGTTACAACACCGTTGAAATGGTATAGAAACGAGAATAGGGTTTTCGCAAAATTCGTTTCTAAAGGTATTTGATTCAACAACAGGGTCAAGTTGGAGGATTGGATTTAGTTAGGGCATTAAATTCAGCAGACAAGTGATATACTCTCCCAAAGGGAATTGATGATGTTGCCTTCTCTGAATTTCTGATTGCTTTGAATTCTGGTCCAATTGGGTTTGATTTTGTCCCCTAATCAAATTTATAAGCTTCAAAATAAAACATCAGTTATATTAATGGATCTAAATTTAAATTTGTGACTTATTATAAATTATTGGTACCATATGGTTTTTATATTCATACACATGCCTTTACAATGTGTTGGCTTTTAGTTTAATAAACAAAGAAAGCACTGTCTTTGTTGTGTTTGGAGAGTCGAAATAATAATGGGAGCCATTGCATGACCTCAATATTAAATCAAGGCTGAAGAAGGTGGGTGTGGGCGTGAAGACACAAAACTGCGGCTGCGACGGCGGCGTCAGCAGCAGCAAGTTGTACGGCCATGGGTGGCTGGCACTGACAGCCGCTGCCGCTCCGCCGGGGGGCACAACCAACAATTTTAATCAATTAATAACAATAATAATAATTATCGAGAAATTATTGAAATAATGTGAAACAAATGAAATTGAAGGACAAATGAAGAGCTGAAGCTTGTAAACATTGACAAAGATGTTTTGATGCTTTTCATTAAACAAATCAAAACCCATTATCTTAAACTAAACAAAATAGTGTACAACTTTTTAACAGCTTCCTTTCAACCTAACTTTAATATTTGATAATCGAATTGGATGGAATAACTTTAAAATTAGGTTAAGTTGTGACCTAATCCAATTCATGAACTAACTTTAATGCCCTTTTCATCAAAGTTTAGTCATATAGTATGAATTATAATTATAGAAAGGGTTGAAGAGCATTAAGACACACTATTTTTTATAGTATACACAGCCGACTAAATGCCTGGGGTGCCATGTGGTTGGATAGGGATTGGGGTTTAGAATGAGTTATCCTTATTTAATTTTGTTTTCTTAAACCATTACTTTAATTACATTGTTGGAACATTTAGTTAGTTTAATTAGGTGAGGTCTCAACTTTTTGAAATCTTCGATGTTAGATCCTTTCAATTTTTTTCTTGCATTTAATTAACACCATCCTTGTGGGTTTGATGAACTGGCCGATTCTTTGCTAACAACAAGCTTCGTCTCATACTCCATAATATTCACTCCAACTGTTAATGGGTTCGTTCGACAATTTCAACCTAACTACACTCGAGTAAAGAAAGATATATGAATGAACCGATACCATATCTAAATGAGACCTAATTTGTTCCGTCCAGAATTGAAAGGCCCAAGCAGTTAAAATGGGATAAAGGGAGCCCAAGCTGAGTTCATGCAAGGGCTCGGCCCAACAGAGGGGAAACAGGAAGACTATTTCATAATTTTTTTTTAGTTTTTACAAATAATTCAAAATTGTAGAAAAAGGATACTTAAAAAATTAAATTTAGATTTGAGATATTGACATCAATATAATAATATTATTGAAAATGCAAAAACAAACATAGAATTTATAAATGTTTGATTACAAATATATTTTATTGTCTAATAATATATTTCAAACATATCCAATTAGCTGCTTAAATATAATTTGTGGATAATCTATTTTTTAAGATTTTTTCAAACATAGATTTTAAATTAATTTAAATATTTTTAGTGATTTTTATTTATCAACATTAAAAAAATCTCCAATCAAATATATTTGAAGAGAAAAAAAAAAAACAAATTCAAGCACCCATCAATTTTCCACTAAAATTTTTGACAAAAGAGGAATCAAGGAGGCAAGGATTAATTTAAAAAAAAAAACAAAAGGTTTCATTTAGAGAGCGATGGCGGCGACGAGGCATCGGAGCACGGCGGACCGCCATGTCTATGGAGGAGTGCGCGGGCCAGGGCTTGAAGATCGCCCTCTCCCGCCGTTGTGGATGAACCGCCAGCACCACCACTGGAGAACTGGCGATGGTCGAGCCGCTGCTGTTGCATGGCCCATGCAGGCTGAGCCATTGGGTCAAAGAGGGACGACAAGTCGTAAGTGACCGGTAGGGAGGAAGCCGACGGCAGGTCTGAGATGGACACCGGTGGTTGCACCGCAAAATTTGGCGGCGGAGGCGGCGACGGAAGCTCCAGCGTTGCTAGATGAGCTTGAAGGTACGACAGCTCGGCTTGTAAACTCACCACCTACAAAGTTAAACATTTTAAGCTTCTAATTCAATCTTACAGAACTACTTTACACTTGTAAGCTTTTTGCAGTTAGAAAATATAAAATTATATATATTTTTTTTAATTTCATTTTTGTACTATTTACAAAGAAAAAAAAAAACAAATTTACCTACCATACTGTTAATAGTACATAGATATTTACGTAGTAGGTATTGCTAATATGCAGTATACATATTAGGTATTAAAAAAAAAAGTAGCTTTATTTTTTTTAAAAAAAAAAAACGTTATAAGAAACAAAATACAAAGATTAATAAAAAGAAAAATATGTTTTGGGTTAGAAACACTGACAAGAAGCTGAAAATTGGGGAAACATAAGAAATAAATCTTGTCCCTCTAATAAAAAGCTTAACTTTAAGGCAGTAGACCGCCCAATTCCTTAATAACTGCGAAAATCATAATCTAAAACAAGAAAAAAAAATTAAGGGCATAAGAACCGTAATTAGATCCCATTTGAAGAAATAATTGAAATTGGAAAAGGAGAAGTATTTATTTGAATAATAATAAATAAATAAAAAAAAAGGAAAATAGTTGAGTTGAGTTGACCTGTCGTTGGAGAGCGAAGATGTGGGCGACGCAGCCATAGACAGGGTCTCGAAGGCGGGCTTGAGACTCGTAGCAAATGGTGACGACAGCATCGAGGCGCTTGTGAACCGGGATATGAAGGAGGAGCTTGGACACATTGCTGGCTCCAAACACCTTGTGCACCGCGGCGAAGTGCCCAGCGCCTTGCTCCGAGTCGAAGTACGGCGCAAATATGCAACCAGGAATACACTTTCTTCTCAAAAACTTGCACGCCCCACATGGGCCTCCTCCTCCTCCTCCTCCTCCTCCTCCGCCGCCGCCGCCGCTAGTACTAGGGTTGGCACTCATTATATTATAGGGGATAGTAAATAAAGATTTTAGAAGGAGATGGGCGAATGAAAGAAAAAGGAGAAGAGGGTTACTTAGGGTTTGGTGGGAAATTGTAGGGAGAGGGGAATGGGCTGAGAGTTAAAGAGGTGGAAGAATTAGCAGCTTGCGTGAAGCAAAGATGCGATAAGGCCTATGCCGAAAATTTGGGACATTTCTCTCTCCTTTTTCCTTTTTTTTCTTTTAATTTTGATTTTGAGTGAGTATTTATGGGTTGAACCTTATCCAATCCATACACAATATGTTGGGTTAGATACTTCGAGTCCACATTTTTATGTTTCAATGTAACACAAAATGTTA